GAGCTTCCTTGAAGTTCCCTCAAGCTTCTCCAATGCTTAGCTTGCCTTGAAGTTGCCTGAAACTCCTTGTAGAAGTCAACCTGCAAACTCCAAAAATGAAAATGGTGAAGCTTAAAACAGGGGTTACAGTTGCAAGACAAAGGCCTGGATAGTTTAGGTAGGAGGTATGGAATGTGTTTGAAGTGATTCAAAGCAAAATGCACGAGGCAATATGGAAATGGCTTGTGATTTGCAGAGATTGCCCTGTTTGGGCAGAAAATGGTGTTTTTTTTGTGTTTGAGAGAGTTTCAAATGCTATGAGCTCGTGTATTGGCTTGTTACAAGGTTCTGAGATTGTTTGAAATGAAGCTAAGGCTTGCCTTTATCAGATGCCCAAGTTTTATTGACTTTTGCAAGTTTCTTGCTTTTGAAGAAAAGTTGGAAGTGACAATGCCAAAGCCTGTACAGGCTTTGCTTGCTAGCTGCACATAGTTGGTACAAGTTGCCTGATATTTGTGGATATTGTTTGCAACAAAAGATTAGGTCCATGGCTCAAGATTTGCAAAGTTGGAAAAAGCAAGCTTTATCAAAATGGTATTATGAACCTTATGCCATTTTTGGATTAATTCAATGTGCAATGGTTCAAAAGTAAGAACAAGACCATTATCCAATATGTTTGCATTAAATTATGGAGTGTAGAAGGGATTAGTACCTGTAAAACCAAGTACAAGCATGTTTGAAACTGATTTGCAACTTGTAACATTGTGAAAATGTCTTGCACAAAAGTGATAAATTGTCGTTTTCATTTCTTCGATTCTCCCTAACCATAAATGATCTTGGAGAGTTCTTGGACATTTTGGAAAGCTTGTAACATGCTCTAAAATCCATATTTGAAATTCATTTTTATATTCATATTGGAACTAGGTGAAAATTTGCCATGAAGTTAGGTCAAAAATCTGCCTAAACTAGGGCAAAATTTCACTAAGTTAAAAAGTTTATGGACCCCTATGCACAAAATCATACCTTGAGATCCAAGCATCGTTTGGGACAACTTTGTGAATCAAAGTTGTAGATTTCATGGAGGACTACAACTTTCATGTTTGAAGTTTTCTTTGAATCCAAATGCATCATGGTGAAAAAGTTGTGGAAAGTTGGGAAAAAATAAGAAATTTCCATAACTTAGAAAAATTCTAAGTTATGAAAAATTTCAAATTAAAACCCTAATTTTCAATTTTAGGTTTCTTGGTCAACATGTTTCACATTTTGACATATCTTGATGAATTATGACCCTTGGCACTTGATTTTGACCAAAAAGTCAAAGTTTGACTTTTCAGTGTACAATTGACTTTTGATTAATTGACTGCAAAATTCATCTGTCAATCCTATGCATTTGAGATCTTTTGAACTATGTGATTATGTCAAGATGATTCCATTGAGTCCTTGAAATCATGCTTAAACCCAATTGGTCATTGGCTAGGTCAAAAACCAGAAATTGCCCTTTCTCAGTCAAAACCCTAATTTTGACCATTTTGCCCTTTTTATGATCTGATCAAATTTCTTGAGGAGTTGTGGTCAAAACTTGATCAAATGGTACATAGGAGCCTAGAATGTTGATGTGGATAAAAAATTATGAAGTTTGACTGTAAATTTGCCATGGTTGACTTTTTCCCCAATACAGCTGATTTTTAGGTCAACTGTCCAATTGACTGGGCAAAAATGTGGCTCAAGGCTTGAAACTTGGTATGAGCAATCTTAGGGGTCCAAGATGGTGTATGAAAGTCACTTGAAGCATTAATGGTCCAAAAATATTTGTGCAAACTCAAACCCTAATTTCAGGTCATCAGTGCAAGGAGATGTCTTGAGCTGAGCAAACCATAATCCTGTCTGGAGTCCAAGGAGTCTTGTGAGGAAAATCTTGATAATATGAGAGGGAAAATTTTGGGGTACAACAGTATCCTATTCCTTTTCTTCCATTCCTGCTAACGCTATAGATCATTGAAGCCATCTTGCTTCTATCTATGTTTTTAGCCAAAAACTTTTGAAAGCTGTGATCATACTCTTTGATGATCTTATCAGCATTACTGTGAGCCTCTGAGATTATTTCTTTCTGAGAGTTTTGTAAATTGTTTTCTAATTTTTAAATCTTTTCTTTTAACTCAAAATTCTCTAATCTAAGACTCTCAGTCTTTTCAGAGTCAGAGACAAGATCCCTTTTCAGGTTCTTGAATTTGACTCTGATTTGCTGATACCTTTCTAGAATTTCATTCAGACTTTCTACAAGTTTAGCCTTAGTAAAATTAATTGTGAAATTAGGGAATACCTCTTTTGTGTCTGATTCTGAGTCTGAACCAGAAGCTTCACTATCTTCTGCCACATTTTCCATGAGAGCTATGTTGGCTCTTTCATCATCTAACTCTGAGTCAGCATCAGAGGTGTCTGAATCGTCCCATGTTGCCATTAGGCTTTTCTTCTTCTCCTTAAAGAACTTCTTTTTGGGCTTCTCCTTCTGAAGTCTTGGACAATCACTTTTGTAGTGCCCTTGATCATTGGACTCATAGCAGATGATGTCCTTGTTATTTGACTTTCTGTGTCCTGAGGAACCTTCAGATCTTCTGTGTCCAGAGGAGGACTCAGACTTTCTGTATCTGGAGGAGGATTCATTTTGATTCTCTGATCTTCTCGGGTTTCTGAATTTCCTTTGTCTCTGCTTCTACAGTTGATTGACCCTTATGGAGAGAAGATACAATCCATCTTCTTCTGATGAGGATCCATCAAAGGTTTCTTCCATAGCCTGCAAAACCTTAGAATCAAATTTTTTGTTAGATTTTAATGCTAGAGGCTTACCTTTCTTTTGAGGCTCATCTTCTTCTAGCTCTATCTTGTGACTTCTGAGGGAGCTGATAAGTTCATCCAGAGATATCTTGTTGAGATCTTTAGCTAGCTTAAGTGCAGTGACCATTGGCCTCCATTGCTTGGGTAGACTTCTGATGATCTTCTTTACGTGATCAATAGTGGAATATCCTTTGTCAAGAACCTTCAGCCCAACAACAAGAATCTGGAATCTTGAGAACATTGCTTCTATAGATTCACTGTCTTCCATCTTGAATGCTTCATATTTCTGAATGAGTGCAAGGGCCTTGGTTTCTTTGACTTGTATGTTGCCTTCATGCGCCATTCTAAGAGAGTCAAACATGTTTTTGGTTGTCTCTCTGTTTGAGATTTTCTCATATTCTGAGTATGAGATAGCACTGAGAAGTATTGTTCTGGCTTTATGATGGTTTCTTAAATCACATTTTTGCTGGTCAGACATCCTTTTTTTGTCTATCTTCTGACAACTTTCATCCACTAGATGTGTGTATCCATCAACTACCATGTCCCATAGATCAGCATCATGAGCCAGAAAGAAGCTCTCAATTTTGTCTTTCCAGTAGTCAAAATTTTCTCCATCAAAGACTGGAGGTTTGCCGCTGATTCTGTCCTTGTCCTCATGATAGTCATTGCTGATGTTTTGGCTTGGTCCCACCATAGTGTTTTTCTAAAGCTTGGATCTTGTACTGACACGGTTAAGTGTATGAAATCAGAACCAGGCGCTCTGATGCCAATTGAAGAAGTGAAAAACACAAGCAGGGGGGGTTGAATTGAAACTTAAAATCAAAAGCACAGTAGACACGATATTTTTATCCTAGTTCGTTTGATCTCAAACTACTCCAGTCCACCCGCCAAGGTGATTTCGCCTCTCTCCAACGAGGACTTAATTCACTAATCAAAAACTGATTACAACACTACTTTGACAACGGCCAAAGTCTTCTTGAGTACAACCACAACCCGATAATCTCAAGGAAAACTACCTTAATTAAGATAAAAGACTATATTGTATATTGTTGTTTTTCCTTACAAAAACTGTATCACAACTGTGATATTTTACACAATTTGGAGCGTATATATGGATATGTAAGATTGCAGCGTTTTAGAGGTATGTTCCAGTTCTATCAAAATTGTAAAAGATTTATCCTCTAAGCTTGTTTATATAGGCATGAAAATCTTGTCCAACATAAAGCGTGATAATGAACATTTAATGTTGTTTCCATATTGAGAAGATTCTTGTCTGAATAAAGCCGTTGCATATGATGTTGTCTTGATTGAATAGTAACGCTTTAGAACTTAGAATCTTGCATGCTGCAATTGCTTCAGAATATTGATGACTCAGAGATGTGAGGATCTGATGGTATATGAACCTTCTGTTCAGAATCAGAATTCTTCACTTCAGCGCAGGTTATGATCATCATTCTTGAGCGCAGATTCTGATTATCATTCTTCAACGCAGATTCTGATTACCTCAGCTTGAAAACTTCTGTAGCTTAATTTCTGATGTTGTTTCGGTCAGAACTTCTGTATACAAAATAACACAAATTTAGAGTGCATATTTGTTCTTTGTGTTTGTTATCATCAAAACTCTAATTAAGGGTTGTAGAATCAAACTATGTTCTAACAGTTAGTTTGGTATATATTTTGAAAAGGTGGTTATTTGGGATATTTTTTTGAAAAAATGGTTATTTGAAAAAAAAAATCCTTTATTTTGACCTCTTCAAAATTTAAACAAAATTTATGGCCAATGAAGTGATTACATGTGGCATATAAATAGATATTATGTAAAAAAATCAAAAATATGTATTAACACAGACGTAGGAACAGAAAGAAAGAAAAAAAATTGATTTACCTTTCTTCTTTCTCTTAGTCTTTCTCAAGTTCTCTCCATCACCATTTTTCATCCAAATAAAACAAACTCAAAGCAAATCAATAGTATAAATGAAGATAAAGGATAAAAGAAATACCTATGGTGATGACAATGATGGACATGGCATCGATGAGATCAGATGGGCAGAGCGTGGGTTATCGGCAGGCTAATTTGGGAAGAGCAATTAAGGAGTTCACGGTCTGAGTCGGAGCTTCGGAGCGGCATTACGGCCTACCGTGTATGGTGGATCTGCTGCGTCTAATCATGGATTCACTGTGTTGTTGTTTCACATCGATGATTGATGGCTTGCGTATCGACGACGGATTTTTTCCCTTTCCAACTTGTTTTGCTTATTTTTTCTTTCTTCCGAACTATTTACTTTGTTGAATGTTATTACGCTACTTGATGGATGAACTTTATGGATTTTTTGTTTGAGTTTGAAACTTTTGTTGAACCAATATCTTAGTGATGTTGTGTTTCTTCTCCTTCTATTTTCTCTGCAAAAAAACATAGACAGTAACACAACCAATTTTTTAATGGTTAGTAAGAAAGAGAGATAAGATTAGGTGTATCACAATCTCTTTTCCAATTATTTTAATCTTGGGGTTATTGTGCACGTGTAGTATGGAATAAGGTGGCTCGGTTATATCTCTAGTGCAGGATGAAGTAGTAACAGTTTTGGTTTTATCGAACACTGTGAATCAAGTTGGTATATGATTTTAAAAAATATACAAATTATTATAAAAAATTGTTAGATAAAACAAATAAAAATTAGTGTAAGAAACAAACCAAGTGTTACAATTAGAAAATGTTGTACGACAATGGGTATGTATTTTACAAAGTATGAATGTATAACAATTTTTTCTTTAATTTTATAAAAAACACAATCCACATAAAATCTTCAACATATGGTTCTAAAAATAAACAAATTTTAAAAAAAAAATGGCAGGCCTCATAGTTTAATCATCGGCCAAAACAAAAAAAAATAATAGAAAAACAAATTGTGAACAAAAGTGTGTGTAAAATCATAGAATTTATGGCTGATTGTTGGTTAAAAATTAGGATGAAGAGAGTCTTATTTATAGATTTTAAATTAGGTTAAAAACACTCTAAAAATGAAATAACCCACACCAAGAAAAGCCTAAAGTTTTCTTATTCTATCTTGGTCTGCAAGATTAAGAATCTAGACCTAATTATGACTCTGTACAAGATTTGATTTGAAAAATATTTAAACTGAAAAAGATTTTATTTATTTTGAGAATTTTTGACTATTTTTTGAATAAAATAATGATTTTAATAAAAATTAATATTTTTAAAATACAATAAATAAAAGAAAACGAAAATAGTAATTAAATAATAAAAAAATGTGATTTTTGTGATTTTAAAAATGGAAGATAGTGATTATCATGTAAGGTGGAAGATAGTAACTTTGTATTTCTTGGTATTTCTATGGGGTATGGTAGGATATAGGTTGCTTAATTGTGTGTTTTTATTTCTTCCTATCTGGTTGTTTTTGAGGTTTTTCCCATTGATGGATTTTTGAAGATCTTGGTGTGTTTTTTATGGAATTGGATGATATGAATTGGTTAGTATTGGTAGAAAAATATTGGGAGTAATTAGCCTACTTAAAGAATGAATTTTGATGTGAAAATTATGAATTTTGGGTGTTGAAGCATGGGAGGTTCGTAACATGGAAACTGCAGAATTTTTCACTGTCATCGCAGGATAATCGGTTACCCAAATATGGTAGTTGATTACCATATCAAAAGTTGAAACAAGGATGGATAATTTCTTGTAGTAACTGATTACCATAAGTGGGTGACTGATTACCACGGGGAATTTTAAAAAGGAACAAGGTTATTGTCCTGCGGTAACCGGTTACCATAACTGGATAACCGGTTACCACAGCTATTGGCAACATTTTTAGAAAACTTCTAAAACTCATAACTTTTACCTCGAGTGTCTGTTTGACGCGTCGTTTGGACCGTTGGGAAGATAAAGTAATTTTATGTTTTATAAAAATGACTTATAACAAAGTAGTTAATTATTTAATCAACATTGATACCGACCTGTAAGTATATTTTGATTTGTATGCCATGAATTATGTTGTGGTTATTTGCGATGATTGTTTTGATTGTGTGACACGAGATACATTATAATGATGATGGAGATGGCCTGTATTGGTGAAACTGTGATGAGTAATAATGATAAATGTGAAGTATGTTGTTGCATGATAGTGTCTCATGCACTCATAAAGCGAAGGCATGTATTGACGAGCAAAGGTATGTATTGGCGAGCGGAGTTGATTGCCCTAAATTGGCATTATTTCGAATAGGGTTCTACCTTGTTGGTACCACATGCATTGAGTCAGTATCGATCTTTTGTATCATATTGTGCTTGATAATTCGATGGATGAATATTGATGAAAGTATGTATCATATTACAATGTATGTTATGTGCTGATTATGTGCTTGAATCTTTACCTGCTTATTATTATGCTTTCTCTTATATTGTTATGATATCTCACCCTTTCTGTTTGAATGTTGCCTCCACGTGGGTAACATGCAGATGATTCGAAGTAGCTAGACATTGAAGGTTAGCTGAGGAGTTCCTTCAGTTGCGTAGATTGAGTCAGTGTTTGCTCTGATACGTAACACTTGGGGTTTCGCATGATTTATTTTATTATGTTAGGAGTAAACATGTATTATTCCATTGCTTGAATTGTTTTACGATTATGCTGATGTTTGAAAGATAATAATTATAACTTCGGTTGAAAAATTGAGATGACTATTTATTGATGTTTTTCCGCTGCGAATAAATGCATTGAAGTTTAAGACTTATGAGCATGTGATTTGTGTTGCGTATCCTAATTTTGAGCATGTGTGATTGGCGAAGTATGTGATATCCTATTTGGTTAATGTTTTATTTAGAAATTAATTTACTATGATTATTATATAAATTACCGACGGGGAAATAAGGTGTTGCAATTAGTATCAGAGCAGGTCGTTCCGTTCGGCCAGGTTGTTGAGTCATTAGTGTAGTGTGATGGTGGAATATTGTCGATATTTATCTGTCTAACCGTTGTTTGATATTGTGATGTGAAGAAGAGCAATGGCAGGAAGAGGAAATGGCACACTCATTAATGCATTGCAGGCGCTAGCTCGGGAAATGCAGAATCAGCCTAATGTTGGTGGAAACAATGAGGCTCGTGCTTTGGAAACTTTCCAGAGGAATCATCCACCTATGTTTAAAGGGAAGCATGATCCCGAAGGAGCGCAGGAGTGGCTCAAGGATATTGAGAGAATATTTTAGGTTATGGATTATTATGATACACAGAAAGTGTGTTTTGGTACGCATATGCTGGCACGAGAGGCTAATGACTGGTGGATTTTTACTCGCCAGAGACTAGAAGGCACGAAAGAAGCTATTACTTGGGCTGTGTTTCGCAGGGAATTCCTGGTAAAGTATTACCCAGAGGATGTCAGTGGGAAGAAGGAGATCGAATATCTGGAACTGAAACAAGGGAGTTTATTGGTAGCTGATTATGCTACCAAATTCGTGGAATTCGCGAACTATGATCCTCATTAAAGCAAAGAGACTGCTGAATTCTTAAAGTGTGTGAAGTTTGAAAACAGACTGCGTTCAGAAATTAAGAAGGAAATTGGGTATCAGCGAATCTGTTAGTTTCCAGATTTAGTGAACAATTGCAGGATTTGTGAAGATAGTGAGGCTCACTACAAGATTGTCACTAAGAAGAGAGGCAAGCAACAACCATATTACGGGAAGCCTTACAATGCTCCGGCCAATAAAGGAAAATATAAATCTATTGATGGTAGGAGGCCAAGTGGGAGAGGTGCTCTGGCTGATATTGTGTGTTATAAATGTGGAAGATCTGGTAATCAGAGTAGTGAATGCAATACTGAAGTGAAGAGGTGCTTCTGTTGTGGCAAAACCGGGCATGAGATAACTGAATATAAACACAAGGAAGTAATATGTTTCAATTACGGTGAAGAAGGAAATATCAGTGCCCAGTGTCAGAAACCTAAGAAAGACTGATCCGTTGGGAAAGTGTTTACTTTAGTTGGGACTCAGGAATCCAGTGGAGATCGCTTGATCAGAGGTATATGTTTCATTAATGGTACTCCTTTAATTACTATTATTGATACTGGTGCTACACATTTCTTTATTGCTGCTAATTATGCTAAAAATTTGAGTCTTGTATTATCTTCTATGAATGGGGAGATGGTTGTCGATACTCCAGCTAAGGGATCGGTGACTACTTCTCTAGTATGCTTGAAATGGCCCTTATCTACCCATGACGGAGATTTTGTTGTTGATCTAGTTTGTTTGTTGTTGACTAGTCTGGACGTGATTTTAGGTATGAACTGGTTGGAATATAACTATGTTCATATTAACTGTTATAACAAGTCAGTGCATTTTTCTACTCCTGAAGAAGAAGGGGGAGATGGTTTCTCATCCTCCAGACAGTTTAAGGAATTATTGTGGGGTGAATCTCATTTGTTTTTGTTAATGGCGTCCTTATCCATGGAGAATCAGACTGCAATTGACGAGTTGCAGGTTGTGTGCGACTTTCCCGAAGTTTTTCCTGATGATAATCTAGGTGTGCCGCCATAAGTAGAAGTAGAATTTTCAATTGATCTTGTACCTGGTACCAAAACTATTTCTATGGCACCATACAAGATGTTAGTGTCCGAATTATCAGAATTAAAGAAACAATTAGAAGAATTTCTTGTGAAGAAGTTTGTGATACCAAGTGTATCTCCTTGGGGAGCTTCGGTATTACTTGTGAAGAAGAAAGACACTAGTATGAGGTTGTACGTGGATTATTGACAGTTGAATAAAGTGACAATCAAAAATAGGTATCCACTTCGGACAATAGACGACTTGATGGATCGATTGGTGGGTGCACATGTATTTAGCAAGATTGATCTGAGATTGGGTTATCACCAAATTCGAGTGAAAGGTGAGGACATTCTGAATACCGCTTTCAGAACTCGATATAGACATTACGGGTATTCAGTGATGCCTTTCGGTGTTACCAATGCGCCAGGAGTGTTTTTGGAATATATGAACCGCATCTTTAACACTTATTTGGATCAGCTTGTTGTAGTATTCATCGATGATATTTTGATTTATTCTAAGTCTGAATGGGAACATGCGGAACATTTGCGGATTGTATTGCAAGTATTGAAAGAGAATAAGTTATATGCAAAGTTGGCGAAATGTAACTTCTGGTTGACAGAAGTCAGTTTTATTGGTCATGTTATTTTAGGTGATGGTATTTCTATAGATCCATCTAAAGTAGATGCAGTGTTGCAGTGGAAAGCTCAAAAATCAGTTACGGAGATTATAAGCTTTTTGGGTTTAGTCGGCTATTATAGGAGATTTATTGAAGGTTTTTCTAAGTTGGAACTTCCGTTAACTCAACTAACCTGTAATGGTAGAGTGTTTATGTGGGACATCCAATGTGAAGAGAGTTTTATGGAGTTA